TAGGTGATTTATTTTAGGGGTTAAAGGGAAAGCAAGATAATGATTCAGTCAGGAAAGCTCTTAATTGTTCTGCAAAGGCAAACTTTAGTATCTTATTCTTCATTATCTTTTGATATGAACCCTAATTATATTGGGTAGCTGTTTGCATTCTCTTCTCTGCCTTGCATTCTGAAGCAGTGACATCCTAGCAAGGCAATGCACCACATTCCTGCAGATAATATGTGCAACCATGATTTCCCATGCTGTGTGCGCTTCAGACTGTTTCCAAGCATGAAACTGCATGCTTCTTAGTGCCATTTGGTGAAACCCATTTAGTTGTAAACATGGGAGAAACTGGCATATATAGTATGTATGACCTGCCTCTTTAAGAGATATCTCTAGGTCATAATATCAGCTTCTCTTCTTCCTTAGATATGTGGGTGGATATGTGGGCGATCTAGTTAGAATGAAACTCCACAGAACTAAACAAAGAAATACCATGCCATTGTCTTTGATATTATCAGTTTAAATAGAGAAACATTCTAATATGCAGACTTCAATTTTGGCTGCATCCCCCTCATGAATTTAACCAGTCTCCAACCAAATAGGAAACATGCAAAACATAATTCCAAGAGACTGCTATGAATTTAGGCAATGCAATAGCCACTTCTTCCAATAAAAAGACATTTATATGTCTTGTTGATCTGGAAAGATCATGGAAATATTGTTAAGCAGTTTCAGAAGCAAGAGAAGTGTTAATGAGGCTGAAGAAATACTATGCCTCTTCAAATCCCCTCAGAGAATTTAGAGGTTCACTTATTACAAAGAATCCCCCTTTAGGCTATGAAAAAAGGCACAATCCCTTCTACAACATGCAACAGGCTAGTAGCTTCTGCATTTTTTTAGTTTTATTAGCTTTCCTTACCCATAAGTACTTGAAGAAAATCTACTTTATTGCACTGTTAGAGTTTTAAACTCACCTTTCCATTGGGAAGCTACTGTACCAAAGTCCAGTGATATTCCTATTTTCATGTTAAGATTGTATCAACTTACTCATCAAAAAACTATTTCTCATCTCACTATTAGATAAGCCACCCATCAGGAAAAAAGATAGCTTGTTATACCTTTCCCATTATTTTGGCTGTGAACAAAGAAAGCCTGTTGCAAAGCAGTTGCTGTAGTAGTTACCCAAATATAATTGCAAGTAGAAATTTGAAGCATAGCTATAGGTTTTTATTAAAATTTGAAAGATGAACTCAACCAAGAGACAAAAATAATGAAGTGCAGTAAGATTTCTTTGCTGCTAAATCTTCCAGTGAATAGAGAGGATTTGTTTAGGTAAATTTAGAAAACCCTTTAAAAATCAGCTATGTCCAAATCAGGTATGTCCAAACTATGTGCCAGCTTTTTTAATTCCAGATTTATTTTGAATGTTAGCAGTATGTTTTCCCAAAACATTTCAAAGTGTACTCTAAGATTTACTTAGTGTGAAATGGGTAGCAGATGTGATACTAAGATCTTGGGTCCCACCATGAGGTGGTGAAGCCTTCAGTTGCTGATTTAGTCTTCCTACCTTTATATCCATTCTTTCCCCTGTCCACATCTCTCATCTATTATGATCCACTAGTGCAAAAATGGTTCTGCCCCTGTGTTCCAAGGAACAGTGCTGAAACCATACAATCAACAATCCAAATAAATAACTGTCTGAAGATACAACTGCTTTGCATCTAAACAATGGGGAAGGGGGATTTTTCCTTCTAGCATAATTATAGCAATGGAGAAGATTTCCAGTTATGACACCCTCCAGACTTGGGTAGATGGGACCAGCTCCATCTCTTAAGATAGTGACATGACAGACATCATCAGCTAATAAATTGCACCAGTGGTGCCATGGCCATCTTTTGGAAAATGAAGGCAAAATTGAATGAGAAAAATTGGGGGAAAGAACAATTCAAGATAGACACGCTATACAGATCTAGTAAGGGCAACAAACAAACAAGCAAACAAAAAGGCTGGGTTCAGACAAGATGATAATCCATGTTCAAGAGCTGAGCAACCATGGATTGTTGCTGAAAAATAGGTTTTGGATAATGTCATCTGAATCCAACTGTGCTAACAAACCATGGTTTGTTAACTGTAAACAACTCCCAGTCTACAACCAACAACAAACCATGGGTTCTCTTTATGGGCTGCTTGTGATTAACAAATCATGCTTTGTGAGCATGGCTGGGTTCAGACAACAAGTCTCAGCAATCACTCGCATTCAGTCTTGACTGGGTTATTGTGCTATCCGAACCCCAATATATTCAATGCATTTTTAGTCATTAGTTTCCCCATAGGTATTTTTGTGTATAGCACAGGCAATGAAATATTACTTTCGTGTTTCATTTGTTATTGTTACTCATATATTGCTATCATGTTGGACAAAAGAACACTGCCCGAATCCATAACACTGTAAAAATACCTTTATTCATACAAGTCAAATCTCAAAAATATTGTGCAAGTTTTTGAGTCCTCCAAAATTCTTCATTAGGCAAGATGATGAACAACACACACACAAACTTAAAAAAGTGAGTGTGGAGAGAAGAGGAAAACCTGGCTGATATTCATGCCATGCAGTCTGTATTTGGTTACTGTGTCTGCAGCCCCTCCCTCCTTCTTTCTATCTTAAAACTGTAATAGAATGCAGACTCCATTGGATGAACATCAGTTGCTTTCTTCCTCCCCCACACAATTTGCTGTTCGCCTTCTTGCCTGGCGAAGAATTCTGGACAGCTCAACAGCTTGCATAGCATGTTGTGACCTCCAGTTTGGTTTAACAGAGTCCATTATGGTGGTATGGACTTTGGAAATTTTCTGCTGAAATGTTTCTAATAAAGCAATGACATGGAATATAATTAAGAATCCAGGACTGCAGGGCAATCCTCTGCATGTTTACTTGGAAGTAAGTCCTACTTCCTAATAAGTGGCTTTGGGATTGTAACCTTAGTTTCTGTGTTCCTTCATCTGCTGCCTCCGTTTCCTGCATAATTCAGGACCACAGAACCAGAAGATACCAAGAACTGTGTTTTTTGTTTCTACTGGCCTAAACACAACCTCCAGCATCTTTAAAAGGATTTACCATACATTCACCTAGCCACAGCAATACTCCCAACAAGCACCCATTGAACCAGAAGCTGTTGTATCAGGAATCGATGACTACTATACAGCAACAGAGGACACTTGATATATCTAAGTGACTTCAAGCTAACTGCATGAAGTCCATGGTGTCAAAATGACATTGGAGTGCAGCTTACCATCATCTAATTAAAGAAATAATAACTACTCTATAGCTAAATTCAGACTATAACAATTGAACTGTATTGAATGTTGATACAATTCTCAGACACTTTGATAGAAGTATCAATGGTCTTTTGTGGTAATACATCATTGTTTCCATAAAAAAACTGGAAAAAGATTCAGAAGCGTTCGTGCCTCATTACTATTGCCCTAACATTTCTAGAACTAGCACACCAGGAGAAAATCCATTCAAATCCCATGCATGCTTCTAAGGGAATTTATTTCAGGAAGAATGAAAGGACTTGCATCTTTGGGGCTTTCCCATTTGCCAGAATTTTTTTTTTTTTTCCATGGGAAGGCATCTGCTTGCTGAAATTTTTCATGAGAAGGCATCTGGTTGTTGATATTTCTGTGTCAGTATACCAGTATTTACATATAAATAATTAAATATTAGATAACCAAAAGCTGTTTTTTTCTAAGCAGCCCAGCATGCTTTGCATGTTCTTTTGGTAGAACCTGAAGAACTCACATGTTCACATGTTCTTTTGGTGGAACCTGCAAGACTTTCTATGAATAAGTGTTTTTTTACTTGAAGACAGACAGAAGCTAAAGGTCAAACATTTATGATTACTTTGCAGTGTGGTCTGAATGCTCATCAACATTTTTTCTGAAAGTCAGTGTCTGCAATTTCCAAAGGAAGGAATGTAAACATCCTAAAGAGTGGATGTTCATAGCCACACCTCTAAAACATTGCTTCATGTTTCAGAAATTTGTTTCCCTTCACTTCCTCAACTTGATCCTATCTATCTGCATCTCTTTTTCATTTGAAATTCAGACCCAGAATTATGGCATTACATATTGTACAGTAGAGATGAAAACAATTTCTGATAAATTATGACAGAATATTAGGTTAAGTGGTTTTATAGTACCTACTGACACAGAAGGGAAAATCTAATGTCATTCCATGTATATGTTTCACAGTGACAGCATTAAAAAAAACCTTCATCTTTAATTTGAAATATCTATGTGTTAAAATAAGTGTATGGCAGTTTTTAAAATGGCATGGCTAGAATGCATATAAATGCATGAATTAAACTCTTGTCTTTGATTTCCAGTCAACTTGCAGAAGCCATTATTTTAAAGTTTTTAAAAATGTTTTTTGCTTTTGCTAATCTTTTCTATAGAAGACAAGTCTGGCAAGATCCAGAAGTGTTACTTTGACAAATCCCCCCATACATTTTGAAGTTTAGGTGCAACTGCAAATCAGCAAACTAATTGTCATTGACTCAACTTGCCCAGGAGAAACAATGGGGGAGGGGGAGAAGGGGTGTGTGTGTGTGTGTGTGTGTGTGCAGACAGAATGTTTTTAAAGTGTCATCCTCATTCACAAAATCCCCCTCTTTCACTGCTAGGGTTCCACCTCCCAAGATGAGAGGGAATCTCTGTTCTCCTCTGCAAACAGTAGTCAACCCAACTGTTGCGGGGATCTGGCTTGGCAGCTAAGGGCAGAGAACAGCGACGGAGACAGAACGAGAGAGGGCAGTTTTAATCGGTAATACAGAAAGATGCAGCTAAACCTATTCACCGTTCGAAACAACATAAGGCATGGAGGAACGGGATGCAGGCAGTGGCGTGCAGGGGGGTGGTGTGTGTGTGTTTGTGTGTGTGTGTGTGTGTGCGCGCGGTGGGGGGAGGCGATTCCTCTAGAATGGAGCGGAGCGTCTCCTCTCGCTGGCACTTACCTTTAAAATCAGCTCGGTGTGGTGCTGGTCCAGCATGTTCGCCTTCACGAAGGAGGTGATAATGACCCTGCCGTACCTCCCAGGGGTCTGCAGGTCAGAATAGAGCCGGTGCTTGGAACGGTTGACGGGGAAGAGGCTGTTGACGAGGTTCCTCTCGATCTTGGCCAGGCTGTGTTTGGGGGCCAGCAGGTGCTCGACGCTCTCCTCGATCTGGTACCTGCTGAAGCTGGCCCCCAGCAAGATGGAGATGAGCACGGGGGCGGAGGCGAAGAAGACCGGGTGGCTGGCGATGAAGTGGCCGAGTCTGGCGAAAGACGTTCTCAGCCCCCTGTGCAAGACCTGCCGCAACATTCTAGTGCAGAGGCAGCTCAGGAGGGCGAGGCGCGCACGACGGAATCTGAAGCTCTCCCAGAGCCGGGGCAAAACCATCGGGGAGCCCGGGCAGGCGGGAGCTTCCCCTCCGGGCTGAGACTGACCAGGCAGCCTGCGATCCCGCCACCCTCCCCCTGGTGCGCGGTGGGTGCTAGAGCTCCTCGCCTCCCTCCCGGCTGACGAGGGGAGTTTCCCAGCGCCTCATTGTCTGACTTTAAACAGCAACAAAGACGCTCGAGGGAAAGGGAGAGGACGAGCGAAAACCCACCCCGAGCACAGCAGGAAAAAAGGGAAGGAAATAGCGAGATCGTATTGGTGGCAACACCTATTTCTTTCTTTGTTTCTTTTTAGGCTGGCTGCTCTTTCTGCCAATCGGGCGGGGTTTCCTTTTTTGTGCGGGGGGAGAGTTATTATTATTATTCTTGTCCAGAAGATGTATTGGGGGGTGGGGATTGAAGTGGGGATTAGACACACTTGCTGACTAATCTCCGCTGAGCGCCCATTCCCCGGCGTGGAGCAAAGAGGATTGGGGCGGGGGGGAAGAGGGAGAGCATCAGATCACGAAGAAAATGAAATAAATGGCACGCACGAGCCGAGAAACCTGATCCTTCCTGGGGGTGGGGTGTTGGGATTTTTGCTGTTGTCCTGGTTCGGTTGTAGATCCACAGGAGATCCTGGGGCTACGGCTGATTACACACCTGCAGAACTGAATGAATGGATTTCCTCCCCCATCCGCGCCTCTGAACGATGACAGGAAAGAGGCTCGCCTCTTCCTCAGCCCCAGTGGGAGAAATCCACCGTTTCAAAGCACACGCCGCCGCCGGAGTTCAGGGGCAGTTTTCTTCCCGGCTTTTTCATGACAGTTGTTGAGCTTTCCAAATGACTAGCCAATGCCCAGGTGGTTCAGAACCGGCGCCGAAGCGCAGCAGCGCTTTCGTGCCTCATCTTCCTCTCCCGCGTCTCGCCGGGTACAAGAATCCGGTGGGTCTCAGTCAAGACGATCAGCAAGGAGACCGACCTCCCCACCCCACGGGGAGTGCTCGCCGAGCGGGCAACTTAGCTGGGAAGTCCTGGTTGCCGGCTGCAAATTACCAGTGACTAATCATCTTAATAACTAGGAAAGGGATTCCTCCCTTCTGCGTTCCTACCTTAGGAATCCCCCCTCTTTTTTTTTTTTTTTTGTTAGAGACCGGATCCCACACCTGGGATTTATGACGACGACGATGGTTTTCTCATGCCAAAACGACCCGATCCTACTTCAGGTCAGATCCATCGCAGCGCCACCAGCGCGCGCCATCCAAGCGACGGCGCTGCCCATCCGTGCCGGAAGGTTGCCCAGGAAAAAGGGGGAGCCCAGCACCGCGCCGGTACCTGGCGCATGGCAAAGTTTCCAGCCTCACCTTTTAAGGAGTCCCCGAGGAGGCGCATTTGGGAGGAAATGAGAGCTGTGCTGATCCTCACGCGGGCGAAAGCGGCGCCCCTGGATTCCCTCCACGGGAAGAGCGCAGAGATACAATTTTGTGTATTTCATTGGTGTCAACAGCTCTTGCCTCTCTTGGTCAACGCATAGCGAGGAGCCGCGGGGAGAAATGCCGACAGCCAGAAACGTCTAGGCGGTTCGTCCAGTCTGTTCCCCCGTCCCCGTCTCCCTCCCGCTCGCCTCGCTCTCGCTCGCCCTGGCTCTGTCTGCCTGCCTGCCGGCCGCTTGGCGGGTGCTCGCTCCCCGCTCCCTTCCCTTCCTCACGGACCCTGCCTGCCTCGATGGCTCGCCGTAGGACGCCGCTTCAGTGCTCCAGAGAAGAAACGGCTCCGTCTCGCAAGCCTAAATGGGCATGTGCGCGAGTGCCTCGCACATGCCCATTGAGAACGTGAAGCCGCAAGGAGAGCGGTGCCCTTAACCCTTTGCCCGCAGCGTGCCTAAAGCTCCCCCCCGCCGCCGCCGCCACCCACCCACCTCGAAAGCCGCGGCGGGGAAGGGGACCAGGGCCGGCCGCGTGCGCGAGCGGGGGCGCGGCGCAGGCACTGCGGGGGCGCGAGCGCGCGAATGCGCGGAGGGCGCGGGGAAGGGTCCGGCGCCCGCCGAGCTCCTGGGGGGCCGCGGGGGCGGGGGCGACCGCGCCGAGGGCAAGGGCAGCGGCAGGCTGTGCAGGGGCTGCCCTCGGAAGGACGGCAGCCCTAGCAAACGCGCTCTGCCCGCGGCCTCGCTGTCCGCAGCCTCGACCCCGGCGCGCAGGGTCACGTCCAGGTGAAGCGGCGCGCTGGGCAGCCTGCCTTTGGGCAGGGCCGGCGGCTCTGCCACGTCTTGCCCCCGCGCCGAGGGAAAGGGGCGAGCGCCCGCTCCTCGGGGAACGTGGGCCCGGTGGCGCTTTGCCCAGCGCTCCAAAAGAAAGGGCTGTCACCGCCGTCTGCCTCGGGGGGGGGGGTGCGGGCGGGGAGGCGAGCAGGGAGGACCGTCCAGTCGCCACCGGCACCGCAAGGCTCCTTAGGGAGGCGAGGCAGATGTGCAAGCGGGCGGTGGGTCACCCCTGCTCGCGGCGGAGCTCTCCCCCGGGGCTGCGGGGCAGTCGAGGTTGGTGGGCAGGGAGGTGAGCAATCAGCATCACTTAGAGTAAATCATCTGGTGCTCTTTACAGATCTAAAGTCACTTTGTTGCTTTAGGACAGAATTTCCCAACCTGGTGCAGTCTGCATGTTTTGGATTGCAGCGTCCATCCGTCTCTAGCAGCATGGACAGCTGTCAAGAATGCTGGGTTTTTTAGTCCATAACTTCTTGGAGGGTACCCAACTGGGCAAGGATGCTTCAGGAGCATAAATTACAATATACATGCACATACTCTTTGCTTGTAAAATTATCATTACCATTTGAAACTTTTTGAAAACTCAGACTATAATTTTAGATTTAACATCCCAAACATGTTGTTTTATGAAGAAATCAAGTTATACACAACACATTTTAGGTTACTAAGTTATGTCTGACCAGAGGGAACTTGAGTTAGCAATTCAGAAAACAGCTGAATGATCCTAGAAGTCAGAAGAAGCAGGAAGAACTGGAGGCAGAGGAAAACTGGGTGCAGCATCTGTTCTTGTTTTTAAAGATGTTTTGGTAAATTTGTAAACCTGTTCTGGTTTTTGGTGTGGCATTTAGGGAAATCTGATCTCAAAGAAAAGCTATTGAAAATTTATTTGACTCAGAAAGAATAATAAGAAAGCATATTTAATTTAAGAAATTTTAAGCAATCTTAACCTGCTATTCACTTGTGTTACTAATTGCTATTAATGAACATTTTGTGTTGTTCATGTTGAAAGCTTGTCTCTAGTGGCAGTATTAATCCTATGCCTTCACCATAGGATACAGGCTATTGAGTTTCTTTTGGGGGTTGTTGTTATGTGTTGTCAAGTTGTCTCTGTTATGGCAACTCCTGAATGAAAGCCCTCCAGAAAGTCCTGTCCATGCTCAGAAAATCCTGCTCAGCTCTTCTAAGTTCAAGGTTGTGGCATCCTTTATGGATTCAACCCATCTCATATTTGCTCTTCTTTTTCTTCTTCTGCCTTCAACTTTCCATAAAATGATTGTCTTCTCCAGTGAGTCTTGCCTTCTCATGTTATGTCTCAAATATGGCAGTCTGAGTTTGGTCATTTTTGCTTCTAGGGAAAACTCTGGTTTGATTTGATCTAGAACCCACTTGCTTATGTTTCTGTTTGTCCAGAAAGACGGTATTCACCAGGCTCTGCTCCAGCACCATTTTTTGAATGCATCAGTTTTCTTCCTGTCAGCTTTCTTCATTGTCCAGCCTTCTCACCCACACATTGTGATTGGGAATGCAGCAGTACGGATGATCTTGGTCTTGGTCTCCAGTGAAATATCCTTACACTTACTAATCTTTCCTAGTTCCTTCATTGTTGTCCTTCCAAGTCTCAGTCTTCTTTGAATTTCTTGACTGCTGTCCCTCTTTGAATTAATGATTGAGCAGAGGTATGGGAAATCTTTCACAATTTCAATTTCTTCATTGTTAACTGTACAGTCCTGTGATCATGATTTCTGCTTTCTTAATATGCAGCTGCAGTCCTCCTTCGCACTTCTTTCACTTTTATCAGGAGTCATTTCAAGTCATTGTTGCTTTCAGCCAGTAGTATGGTATCCTCTGCATCTCTTAAATTAGTGATATTTCTTCCACCACTTTTCGCTCCTTCCTCTGGTTCTCATCCAGCTTTTCTTATATATTCTGTGGAACAGAACAGTTTGGAGATAAAATACATTCTTGTCTGACACAAACTATTCTGTTTCTTCATATTCTGTCCTAACAGTAGCTTCTTATCCATGATACATGTTACACTTCAGGATGGTTAAGTGTGGAAGCGCACCCATTTCTTTCAGGACCATCCATAGCTTCTCATGATCCAAACAGTCAAAGGCTTTGTTGTGGTCTATAAAGAACAGACTGATCTTTCCCCAAAGTTCTTTGGTTCATCCCAGTAGACAATCTATATTTACCATAAGATCTCTAGAGCTGCATTTTTTTTTTTTTTTTGGAAGCCAGCTAGAACATCAGGCATTTCTCTCCTCATACAGGGTGGTATTCTTTGTTGCAACCATATAAGCATTACTTTGTTTACATGGGTAATTAATACAATGGTGTGCATTAACATCGTGGTACTCTTTCGCATCTCCTTTCCTGGGGATTGGAATGTATATTGAATATTTCCAGTCTGTGGCCCATTGCTTTGCTTTGCTTATTTATTTATTTATCAATTTATATCCTGCCTTTTTCCTACAAAGGGTTCAAGGCAACTTACATCTTCTCCTCCATCTTATCCCCACAACAACAACCCTGTGAGGTAGGTTGGGCTGAGAGTCTGTGACTGGCCCAAAGTCACCCAGTTGGCTCCATGGCTGAGCGGGGACTAGAATCCAGATCGTCTAAGTCCCAGTCCCATTCTCTTAACCACTACACCACACTGGCTCTCAGTATTGACAATACTGGCACATTATTGTTAGGATTTGGACTTATAAATTTTCTGCAGCTTGGAATAGTTCTGTTAGCATCTTATGTGCCTTCAGAGCAGCTTTTACTTTGCTTTCTAATATTTCAGAC